GTTGAGTTGTACGAGTTCTTCATATAGCCTGCATATTAATGCTTTACCAGATATATGATTTGCAAATAGTTTTTCCCATTCTGTAGGTTGCCTTTCAACCCTGTCGATTGTGTCCTTTGAGGCACAAAAGTTTTTAACTTTGGCGTAGTTCCATTTGTCTATTTTGTTGTCTGTGCTTTTGGTGTCATATCCAAGAAACGATTGCCAAACCCAATGTCGTGAAGCTTTTCCCATATGTTTTCTTCTAAGAGTTTTATAGTTTAGGGCTTACATTTAGGTCTTTAATCATATTGAGTCAGTTTCTGTATGCGATATAATTGAATTCAGCACCATTTTTGATGGCAGACTTCAGTTATACCTTAAAGGTTCCAGAAGAACCAATAGACTTCTTGTGGCTGTGGAGTGGCCATCCCAGGCCTTTGAGTTCTAGCAGAGCCACTTACAGGTGCTAGACAAACATCTGTTGAGCACTTGCTAAATGTCTGATGGGTTTGGGAAGTGAGGGCAGGAGATACAAAGATGAATAAGTAGGGAACTCTCTAGGATGATGTTAATGCTCTATACCTTGATAGGAGTTTGGATTATAGAGGTTATGCATTTGTCAAAACTCAGTGAATATACACTTAAGGTTTGTACATTTCGTTGCACATAAGGTTTACATCAGAAGAAAAAAATGAAACAAATACTGAACTCTAGTTAGTGATATGCACTCTGAAGTTTTTAAGGGAAATGTACTTATGTCTGCAATTTGCTTTAAAATGCATCCAAAAATTAGATTAATCGATGCAGGGAGGGGCGAATAGGTGATAAGCAGGTCTATTTAAACTATTGATGAATTTGTTCCATGTTTGAAATTTTTCATAATAAAATGTTGATGGAAGAGTATGAGAGGGTAACACTTACGGGGGGACTGATCCTTACCTCACACCGTTAATGGCCTCTTATGTCCTGTCCTAGTCTTTTTGGGGGGAGGGGACAGGTAGGAGGATGTGGGGGTAGATCTGGTTAACACTGAAAGCATTTGCTCCCCTTTGGAGGCTGTTTTGAAACCTCTGAGTCATTCCCAGATATGCTTTCCATCGTGAGGGATCTGTGAGAGTAATTGTTGAGGTCCTCCAGTACCTACAGAAAGGAATACGTTTTACATCGTTACTTAGTATACAATTATATTTAACTAAAACAAAGTTTCATGAAACTATACTTTGATGCATTCTGATATTTCCTATTTATTTCTGAAAAAATGTCAATTTTGAATCATTAATGGGCTAAGAACTGATCGTTTGAAAAATGCTGCTCTAACATGTAAACCGTGAAAATCAAGAGATTGACATAGATCATTTAATATCAACAGTGAACAGTCATAAAAATTATTGGCATTTTTAAATGTTCCTTAGAGCTTCAAAGCCCAATATTTCCAAGTTTCATTATATGTGCCACTAAAATTCTTAGTAGTGTGACTTTAGAAAAAATGATTAACTTTTCATTCTCAGTTTTGTCATCTGTAAAATGGAGATAGTAGAGGAGCTACACACTTCATGGAATTCTTGAAAAGGATTAAATGAGATGATGTCTGAAGTGCTTAGCACAGTGCCCAAATGAAAGGCCTCAGTAAGTGGTAAATATTTTTATTAGCCATGAATTCATGAACTTCTATATGTGTGAGCCTCAAAAGAAATCAGAATGGACTTCAGAAAAATAAGTTGTCTTTCAGTACCTTTTTTAGTTCTTTTTCCTTATTTATTTTTTTATGGAAGTAGCCATTGGGAGTACCCAATTGTTGGCTATAGCACTCAGTAAAACAGTGCTCAGTTTTGCAGCAGTTGTCTGTGGGGGCATTGGCAAGAGTGTCATTTGGAAACGGTGGGGGGGGGAGGGTGGATTTTGGCAGGCTTGGTGGTTTTTGCTGTTGAAGACTATTTTGGCATAATCCTAGGTGAGAGAGATGCCTGGGGCTTCTCACTGATCCATCCCTTTAGCCTAGAATTCTGAATAAGCTGCGTCTAACTTGGGGAGGTGGTCAGGAAGAGCCCAGAGGGCTTTATTAAAGGGGAGCTCACCTCTTTGAAATTCTCTTACTGAGGATTATTCTGCACCATTTGGATCTCTTCCTTTTTTTACCTTAAGAAGTTTGGCTTCTGGTGAAAATAATTAAACAGAAAATGGTCTGGTATTTTGGGCACAATTAAAACTTTTACTCTTCTTAATTTAATAGAATATTAAGATTTTATTGCTGGAAGAGCCCTGAGGAGAATCAATGCAACTCTGCCACTTGGTGGGTGAGGATCTTCCTTCAGAGTCGGAGTAGCAGCGGGCCTTTAGGCATCAGGTCCAGTGCTCTTGATTGTGTCTGGCTAGAGAAGAGACAGTACTTTAGCTGGAGAACTGGTACATTTTAACCACAGCCAATCTAACAAAACTATTACCATTATTACTGTATGTTCCTGCAAATCCCTTTCGAGTGTGCATCTTACCGCTTACTATATTTACCAGTTTATTACCTAGGATAGCAACCCACTTAGAAATCTCAGTGGCTTAACACAACAAAGATTTATTTGTTGCTCACATATTATGTCCAATCAGAGTCAGGCTAGGGAATGTCTGTTCTCTGCACAGACAATCAGGGATTTGGGCTAACAGGGACCATGTTGTAGCCATTTAATACACATGCTTTCCAGGTTGCCATGGCAGGGAAGAGAACTAGCATTCACTCATCTGTGCTCCTGCCCAGAAGTGATAAAGTCATTTTTCTCACAGCTTATCTGTCAAAATTGGTCATGTGACCCTGCCAAACTGCAAAGGGGCTGGAAATACAGGGGAGCATATGGAATATTTAATGAGCATTGCCTGGGAGAAGTGCTACATGGTAATATATATGGTAAAACTGTATATGGAAAAGAAAAGCAGTTTCCTGTCCTCTATATCTACCAAGTTTTATTACTCTCCTAGTTTTCTAAGCTTCAAGGTTCATAGAGGCCATCATGGCTTTTATGGATAGTCTGGTGGAGACAGGGAAGCTGCTGCCGACCACAGGGTAATGGGGTCCGTGAGCATAGCAGCAGATAAACACAGTGGAGAAATAGTGGGGGTAGGTGTGATTTCATCTGCTGGGTTTGTGTGGTAGGCTGAAAAATATTCCCCCTCTCCCCTCAAAGATATCAGGTCCTAATCCCTGGAACTAGTGGATGTTATCGTACATGGCAAAAAGGATTATACAGATGTGACTAAATCAAGGGTCTTGAGATGGGGGATTATCCTGGAGTATCCCAGTGGGCCCTAAAGGCTATCACATGTATCTTCATAAGAAGGAAGCAGAGGGAGATTTGACACAGTGACAGAGAGGAGGAGGCAGTGGAACCATGGAGGCAGAAATTGGAATGATATGGCTATAAGCCAAGGAATGCCAGCAGCCATCAGAAGCTGGAGGAGGCAAGGAGGGCATTCTCCTCTAGAACCTTCTAAAGGAGTGGCTCCCTCCTAACGCTTGAGTTTTGGCCCAGTGATACTGATTTTGCACTCTGGCCTCTGGAACTGTGAGAAAATAATTTTCTGTTGTTTTAAGCCACCAAGTTTGTGGTAATTTTGTTATGGCACTCACAAAAAACTAATACACTTACATTCCCAGTTTCTTGGTGGTCAACCACCGTTCTAACCAGTGCCCTGAGGAATTGGTGACTGGAGCAAAGACTGAGAAACTGGGTGAGAGTGAGAATTTTCTTTATGTTCTCTTTTTTCACCTTCTAAATTTGAACCATGTGAATGTACTACCTGTTCAAATAATAAATAAAAATAATCTTTACAGCCCTGGGAATCCTACAGTAGGGGAACATGGTTAATTTTATGTATTCATTTCCCTGAGCGACATCCAGTGCAATCTGTATTCTGTGGAATGCACTTGGAGTAATTCTTTTCAAAAGGTTGCCCCACGGGCTTGCCTATGTCACCTACTCCAATCTTTCTCTCTCCATTGTATTTCTGATGTTTGGGTCTAGCTCAGTGATGGGAAAGAATTATGTGGAGAAAAATGAATGATGGTGTAATAATTATGTTATTTATATAAAGGTAATTTAATTAAAAATGACCTCAGAATCCCCTGTCACTCTGGATCAAGGCTTCCTGACTGGTGTGGTAGCCAGAGTACCCAGGCTGGTGAATTCCGCTTCAAGAATATAACCCCTCAACACTAGTGTGCTATGTAAATATTATTATTTTCAATGTGTGCAGTGATGTGGAAAGGCTGGTAAATACTGCTCTAGCTAAAATGAGGCCATATATTTTTAAAATGTACGTTGAATAAAAATAGCTATGGAAAACAAACTAGTTGGGTCTTTGGGAAAGTCGTAGTGATTGTTTTGCCCTAGTATGGGACTCCTCAACCTTTCTTCCAGAGTGACACTCATGGGAGATGGTGGCACTCTGTTGGTGAGGGCACTGGCACTTCTTCCAAGCCCCCAAAGCTGGCTCAGCTTCAATAACTTCCGCACAAAGCCTATAGGAAAAGAAGACAGAGTAACATTTTAGGGAATGACCTTGAGTTCACTCTTATTTACCAAGAAATAAATTGAAAACTTGAGTATGTCAACTCTATAGGAACAAAGTCCTCTGACCTACCTCAAACTGATGTCACAGTTGAGAACCATTGTCCTCACAGAGTAAGTACCACTTCATTTTGTGACTAGCTGAGTATAAGTTAATTTCAAACCACCAAATAAGAGAATCTTTTTTTTAAAAAAATATTAATACAATCAAAAACAATTTTAATGGTATTACATGCAGTATGTAAATAAGAACTTTATCAAATTCAGCTTTCATTTAAACTGTACTGTTTGTTGTTCTGTTATGTCCTAGTGGGTCTGATGATGTTGGTAATGCTGTCTGTTCTTTATGTTTTCTGGAATAAGTAACTGAATTAATATGTCAGTGTAGTACTATCTGAAAAACTCTAAGAGCTATTAAAATGTTTAAAAATAAAATGATCAATTCTTCTTTTGTTCTCTTGACAGGATAATTGAAGCTATCTGCATAGGTTGGTTCACTGCAGAGTGCATTGTGAGGTTCATCGTCTCCAAAAACAAGTGTGAGTTTGTCAAGAGACCCCTGAACATCATTGATTTACTGGCAATCACGCCGTATTACATCTCCGTGTTAATGACAGTATTTACAGGCGAGAACTCTCAACTCCAAAGGGCTGGAGTCACCTTGAGGGTGCTTAGAATGATGAGGATTTTTTGGGTGATTAAGCTTGCCCGTCACTTCATTGGTCTTCAGACACTTGGTTTGACTCTCAAACGATGTTACCGAGAGATGGTTATGTTACTTGTCTTCATTTGTGTTGCCATGGCAATCTTTAGTGCACTTTCTCAGCTTCTTGAACATGGTTTGGACCTGGAAACATCCAACAAGGACTTCGCCAGCATCCCTGCTGCCTGCTGGTGGGTGATTATCTCTATGACTACAGTTGGCTATGGAGATATGTATCCTATCACAATGCCTGGAAGAATTCTTGGAGGAGTTTGTGTTGTCAGTGGAATTGTTCTGTTGGCATTACCTATCACTTTTATCTACCATAGCTTTGTGCAGTGTTATCATGAGCTCAAGTTTAGATCAGCTAGATATAGTAGGAGCCTCTCTGCTGAGTTCCTAAATTAATGCACTGCAAATCAAGTCTTGCATACACTTTGATTGAAAAAGTTGATGCTACTTCATATTCATGTGTTTCTTGCTCGGCGAGCACTGCAGTGGTACTGTCATTATCTTGGTAGGGTGAAAATTATCCTTCCCAGCCGAAGGGATAAAGCAATTTACTTATTATGGAGTAAATAAAATTGAGACTGCAAAGGAAAGATACTGTTTCTTAGAGTAAATTTTAGGATCTTGTTTTATTTAGACTTGTCTCCTCCTTCCTTGCCTTGAACAATTAGACTTTTTGTTTTAAGGTATATTATCTGAACATTTTAAAATGGAAAGCTGTATTTTCCAAATGTTTTTCCATCTTATGAATTCAGGAGAAGCTTGGAAGTTAGTGTTGTTTTTTGTTGGAGAGTGACATTTTCATTTCTAAATGTTTTATAATCTCTCATATCAATGTCAGAAGTATCCTGGAAACATATGTCACATGCAGGAACTGTTTAACAAATACTTTAAAAATTTGGCTGAATTTAAACTGTATAATGGAGCTAGATACAAGCAAGGATAGTATTTGGAAAACGTTTCCAGCATATTTCTCAATTCTCTGACTTATTTTTGTTCCTATTATTCACCTTATTATACAGCTTCATGGAAGCTTGAGTATGTAGTCCCCTTTCCATTTTGAATTTCTTTTATCTCTTTACTGAAATGACTCTAAAGAGTATTTTAGAATGAAGAGAGTTTGTATTGTTTAGCATTTTATTGGAGTTCATTTTATTTGAATTCTTTGCTGTTACTAGGTGATAATTGTCCTAACATTCAGCTGTCCAAACAAGGTTTTGACATAAAAATCGATAATAGAAGTAGTTTGATGTTACAACCCATATTTATCTTCTTCTCTCCTCCCGCCACCCCACAAACAACGTGGGTTTAAGTCTTAGATGAAAAGATATTTATGTAGCCTTTTTGTACCAAAGTCAGGTGTTGTCACTGGATTATCATAATGAAAGAAATGAAATATTTCCTTACTCTTGGTTGCTGTGTAGCTAAGCCAATTTTAAGCCTGCTAAAAGCAATGAATATATAATTATTTGATCTAATCTTTACCATCATGAATTATGGCTATACCAAATCTTCTTGCAACAGTATTGAATAATATGTCACATTAATCTCAGTAGATTATTAGGACTAGATAATGTAAAACTGTTAACTGTTTAGTGCTAAATTTTGGCAATGTGAATTAAGATCTTTGTTAACCACTTGTTGTGTATAGATTCATGATGTTGTACACTGTAATTTAGTGGAGGAGGAGGGAGTGGAGAGAGGGGATGACACCTTGATATATTTATCTGAGAAAAGGTTACCAGAAGTGTTTATTAAAGGAACTTTAGCCATCATCTAGTTCAAACCTCAACTAGTACAAGTAGAAAACCAGGGCAAGAGAAGATACGATTGTGGAGTTGGGGCTAAAACCTAGATCTCTAGAAACCAAGCCCAGCAGCTTATTCTTAATAAATCTCTGGGTTTTGAGAAGAGCTTTGCGAAGCCGTAATTCATTGCCATTGCCATTGCCGAGGTAATAGCAAAACTGTTCCTTTTCCCTAATTCCCTTTCCTGAGTTTGATATTTTGGCCATTAAGAATATCACCCCATATTCAAAATAAAGTCTGTTATTTATTGTATATTTATTATACTTTACTATATTTGAAATAAATGGCATGGATTTATTTTTTCTTACCTAATTGGGGTAAGGCTTTGTGATTCATGCAAACAACATGTAAATGACAGCATCTCCGTATTACTTACTAAAATATGATAGCCATCCATTTTGCTAATACTGGGAACTCTTCATGGGAATATTTCTTATCTCTCCAAGGAAATTATAACAACAATCTTGAGGACTGGACCCTTTTTCCTGCATTCACCTTGATATCTCCACAATGTCTCAGACAGACTTGGGCACAAACTATTGATTGATTTTGGGGGAGAAACTTCTGAAGAGGCAAGGAGAAGGAAATTCCTATATGTGTACATGTGTGACTATACATGCACAGACTTTGAGGCTGCCCTTAAGTAACCAGTAAGAAATGTCTTATTGGTGATGCCAGACTTCTTAGGAAGGAGCATGTTGGATAAATTCTAATGACAGTTTAGCTGCCCTTTGCGAAGAATGATGACCAGACATGATAGAGTAGTTCAATCATGAGTGAAAAAAAATCACAGGTATTGTTATGTTTTAGAACAGGCATTTTCATAACTTTCCCTGAATGTCATTGCCTTTAAAAAATCATTTAGTAGGACTTCTTTCTTAGTTGCGCTTTTAGACATTTTTCATAACTCAGTCTTCATGGCAGAGATGCTTTCGTTAGGATCCTTATTAGTAGCAGTAAATCAGATATTATCCTAATTAGAATGCCCCATGAGGAAAGAAGAAGCCTGAATGTTTTGTTCTGATTTTACCACACCTGAGATTGTGACTTGCTCTTATGTAGAACTTGCTTTGTATCTTCTAAAATGGGAGTATGTGTTTGAAAGTGAACATACTCTAACTCAAGGCCTTATTTATCTTTTGCTTTTATGACCCTATAGTTATTCTGGGTTGCTAATTGAAACATTGCATTTGCTTTGCTCAAGAGTCTTGCAGTTACTTACAATCACACCTTTGTAAGGTCTTTCTTACAAATATAGAAATATATTCTTTCACAGTGGCTGTCAGTAAGTCAAAGTAATATTTCCTATTTTTAAACTTTTGTCCAGATATCTTGCCTAGGTCTCCTGTGATCTGAGAGTAGGGTACATGGGGATAAGTTGGATGTGGGTGTTGGGAGGATTTTCTTTGCTGGCTTGATATTTTCTAGAAGCAGCTTATTTTTCCTCTTTGCTATAGAAATGAAAAATAAAAAACAGAAAACTCCTAGCTCTGTTTTACTATTAAGCTTATATAACTCCGAACTTAATGCATAGCTTCACAAACTATCTCCAGAGCTCTCGATCCTTCATAAATATACATTCATTTATGGTATACACTATAAAATGCAATCAAACACAATGTAAATATTTCACAGGGTCATAGGAAATTAGAGCTAAGGGACCTTGGAGACCTGAAGATCTCTTTCCTAGGCCCTTTATCCCATCCGAATGTCAGCAGCCAGGGAACTGTGCTCCCAGTGGGTTGGACTTTAGCCATTAACACTCATAGGGAGACAAACTTGTCCCAATTGCCTGGGACCTTCTTGATTTTAGCACTGGAAGTCCCCCATTCCTGGGAAATCCTCCTGTCTCAGGCATACTGGAAGAGTTGGCATCCTAGTATCAGGTCAGGCCCCAGAAACCTGGTTTCCAGACTTTGGGTTCAGTACTCTTTGGATATACTTCTTTTTTATTTTGTAACATCAAAAGGCATGAATGATTTCTTTTTAAAATATTTTCCTTGGGGCCCCTTTTTACAGGTCAAATAAAAAGCAAATGTTGCTTTTAGACACCCTAGGTGTCAGGAAGGAGGTCTTGGGACCAGTATAGAGAACTCAGATTTTCAATAGAGTTTTCGAATTGCAAAACTTTACAGTTGTGCATCCATTTACATATATACGAGTAAGTGCGTTCATAGTTATTGCAGTATTTAGAAAGTGCAGGCTGAGAAATGACATAGCTGAATGGGAAGTAACATGAGTTGACGCTCTAATGGAAAAGTTCCATTTTGGTCAGGAAAGGTTGCATATACTTCTCTGTTTAACATGCTTTCATTACTTCCTGTCTTCTCTGACCCATCTGCACTTAGAGGACTGGGCATATCAGTTTGGCCCCTGAAAGTAATTTAATGATTTACTGCCCCATACTGTGGAGCCTTCCCAAGATTTATGAAATGTTACCCAAAAGCGTGATCATATTGTCTCATTCTGTGATTAACTATTTTCCTTTTAGCAATTGACCACTTACTTATGCCTAAACTTTCAGATTTTTCAAATTCTACCAGACATTCCTAATAAATGAACTTTTGACCATTAGTGCAAGCTCAGTTGTCAATTTATTATTTGTCTGTTTAGAAAATTGAACTTGATAATCTGCATTTATGCTGTAATTTAAATTAATTTTAAGTAGCTTTGGTGAGAATCCTTTTATTTATATTTAAAAAAGCACCACTATATCAAGTATAGTGAAAGTATAAATGACCTTTAGTGGATGAAAGACAGAGGGAATAAATATTTGGATTACACCTTATAGGACTAAATCATGCTATGTCATTTCTATCTGAAGTAGTACTCTTCATTTATGCAACATTTTATTAAAACTAAAACTAAAATTTCCTATAATTTTGTATTAGGTTTTCTTTCTATGGATTTCAGTTATTTCAGTTGTTTAGAAATAATTCTATAACTCTGCCCATGACAGAGTAGAGGCCACTTGCAGGGTGTATTGTTACAAAGTGTTTTGTTTTGTTTTTTAAAGAAAGGAAGCATCAGTAATGACAGGTGTTTTTGCTGTATTACTATATAGTGATTTGTTCAACTTACATATTGCTTTTTAACTGTATGTTACAAGCTTGATCTGCAACTTTGATGGAATTCCATGCTTTCCAGCTCTACAATACAGAGGGCATGAGAATTTCACTTCCTTAGTGGAGAGCAGTATTTGAGTTATAAATCCTGAATTCTGATGCAAAAGAAGTGTGCGTGTGTGTATGTGTGTGTGTGTGTGTTATAGCTATACATATATTTATTTTATTTTATTTTATTTTATTTTATTTTATTTTATTTTATTTTTAGCCATACTCAGTCTTTCATATGAAACACTTGGAAGTAAAATGCAAAATCATGAAATTGATATTAAGGCTTAGCTTTCAAGTCCATGTGAAAGCTGTTTAGTTTATGAACAAATAAGACAGAAATGGAAAGTTTAGATTTTTTGCTTTGAGATAAACTGCCTAACTTTATATCTGTATTTTTTTTTTTAAGTAATTCTTATAATTTGGAAGGTTTAAAAAGATAAATAATACAGGTATACCCTTGAGAAGGTATGGGATCATAATCAGATCAAATTATTGAAAAACTGCTACATGTGAA